CTCTACAAAAAATTTTTTAAAAAGTTAACTGGGATTAGTGGCACATGCCTCTATTCCTAGCTACTTGGGAGGCTGAAGCAGGAGGATCATTTGAGCCCAGGAGGTCAAGGCTGCAGTGAGCCATGATTGCAGCACTGCACTCCAGCCTGGGTAACAGAGCAAGACCCTATCTCCAAAAAAAAAAAAAAAATAATAATACAAGTAAATGACAGGCCAGGAACAGTGACTCACACCTATAATCATAACACTTTGGGAGACCAATGTGGGAGAACTGCTTGAACACAGGAATTTGAGACCAGCCTAGCAACACAGCAATACCTCATCTTTACAAAAAAAATTTTCTTTAATTAGCCGGGCATGGTGGCACCCACCTATAGTCCCAGCTGCTCAAGAGGCTGAAGTAGAAGGATGACCTGAACCCAGGAGGCCAAGGCTGAAGTGAGCTGTGATCGTTGTCCATGCACTCCACCCTGGACAACAACCCGACTCAAAGAGAAAAAAAAAAAAAAGTAAATGACAAACCATGAAAATCATGGCAAAACATACAGTAGACAAAGGGATAATATCTTTAATATATAAAATATATTTATAAATCACACCATAATGGAGCAATAAGCGAAAAATATGAAGAGGCAATTTCAAAACCAAAGAAGCAATTTCAAAACCAAGAAGCAATACAAAAACCAAAGAAATGTCCAATAAAACAACAATGTCCTGTTGGATTAGGAAAGGCAGTGGGATACCCAGTATTAGCATAGTCAAAGGGAAACAGTTACTGACATGCAGCTCAAGGGACTGGTTAAAACCTATTCCTAGGGGTCATTTAGCAATATGTAAATCTGCCAAAAGTATATACCAACTACACAATATCATCCCCAGAAATCTATCCTAAGAATTGGACGAGTTGCTTTAAAGCAAGTATGTAGGAGGATATTTATCATGGCAATGTTTTTAATAGGAGAAAAGAATGCCTATCACAGAAAAGTGGTTAAACTAGTTATGGCACATCTGTACAGTGGACTATGCCACAAATCTTTTTAAAAAGAGAAAATGATACTGTAGATTGTGTTTAATTGGCATGGAAGTTCACTTACAAGGTATTATGTTTTAAATGCAGATTTACAGTGTATAGAGTATGCCAATAAAGACGTATGCTAAGGTCAAGGAGAGTATAGGGTTCCTCCAAAGTCCCCCCATTTCCTGGAAAGTCGCCATTAGCACTGATGGCTCAGTGGACCTCCTGCCAGGAGTCAGGGGAAGTAGGTCATCATGCTCAGAGCCTCCATCTGCCAGGTCCCAGTGAGCCTATAAGGCTCGCAGAGTTGTTTATATCCGAAGGCATTCGCTGCCTGGTCTGGAGCCCTGGCCAGTCTCAGCAGTCATAATAAATGCTGCTGATGATAGCAATAATCACTCTCTCTTGTATATGGATCATCCACTTTACAGCCATTAGCTCTAACTCATAGAAACCTCCTACAGGGTTATTATTATCCCCATTTCACATATGAGGACACTCAAGACTCAGGGAGATGAAGAAACTGGCCCGGGATCACCCAGTGGCAGCCCCTGCGTGAACCGGGATCTGGCTGCCATTCTCTGCACATCTTAAACCATCAAGCTCTGATCACATGACCTTAGAAAACCTGGGTGAGCCTGTGGAAGGAGGAAGCCTGCTACCAACATTTAGGTCCTGCTCAAGCTCAACTGCACATTAGAATCACCTGGGAATTTTTTTAAACATTCCCATACCTGGGCTGCACTAGGATCTCTGGAATGGGGCCCAGGCATCTGTATTTTTAAAGCTCCCTAGGTCCCTGGGCTCGGTGGCTCAGCCTGTATTCCTAGCACTTTGGGAGGCTGAGACGAGTGCATTGCCTGAGCCCGTGGGTTGGACACCAGTCTGGGCAACTTGGTGAGACCTCGTCCCTACAATAAATAAATAAATAAAATTAGCCGGGCGTGGTAGCGCACACCTGTAGTCCCAGCTACTTGGAAGGCTGAGGCGGAAGGATCGCTGGAGCCCAGCAGGT